GTGTGTGTGTGTGTGTGTGTGTGTGTGTGGGCGCGCGCGCGAGCGAGCGCGTGTGTGTGAGAGAGAAAAAGAGCGAAGTGATCGGATACGAAGAAAGATACCAGATACATTTATGAGTCAGTGTTCATATAATTTCAGGGGGCGATAACTGCAGAACGGCCTGCAGGGATATGCTAATCAGTCGTATACCAACAACAAATTATATTTGATTTGTTCGGTGCGCAACCAGGACTATTTCATGGTTCAAAATAACCCTACTGGATTGCATTGGGGACAACTTCAGTTAGTGACATTTCTCTGTCATTCATAACCCAATAATAGCTACAATTAAGGTTGTCTGAAACAGAACGGTTAAACGGGAAGATGGATGTCGACGATGCTCTGCAGTTGCTCGGTACCTGTGGGCTATACCAGGTGATGCTATACTTCATGCTGGCCGGATTCGAGATCATGAAGGCATGGCAAGCGTTCGCTATCAATTTTGAAGGGGCTGAACCAGAATATCATTGCAAGGTGAGTGAGGTTTTTCGCGTATACATACATTAATTGACGGATATCAGCAGCTGTACGTTAGCTTCATCGCTAAACATTATGAAGTGTCGAATTGTTATCCGAGATAAAGAATGACGCGTAAAATGTAATCGTAATGCGAATAAACTTAGCGAAATATATATATGATACTTTAAACATTTCTTAACGACTACTTTCTCAAGGTACCAGAGGCTACACCACTTAATGAATCTATACCTCAGATATATGATTCTTGTGGAACCTGGCAATCGTGGGAAACCTGCACGCAATATGTAAATATCTCCATTGATAACACCACACAAGAGTGTCAAAATGGATATTCCTACGCTAATACATATGGAAACACTATTCTAATGGAGGTAAGTTGTTCTGATGCAATATGTATCAAGAGTAGATAAATAACATTAATGTTATTTATCTACTCTTGATATGTATATATACTGTAAAACGTTTATTACTGAAAACCTTTTCCATTTTTTCATTACTCGATTCTGCATTAAGGCCCATTCACACCAGAGATACGCTCATCACGATCGCC